TTCAAAAGTACAGTACAGTGCTAGATTATAATATACGAGTAGTTATAATTTATTCATTATAATTTACCATAAAAATAATCTATACTCGAAATTTGTAATTTTATTTCTTCTTAATGTTCAAAGCCATTAACTTTGATAAAATTTTGCCATCAAGTTCATTATCTCATCTCATATATCAAATTTCTAAAAATATCCAAGTTGTCACACTATGTATAGAAACTCGTTACCCACGTTTTACACCCTTTTTGTATTATTTATAATAAACAATGTAAACTTAGATTGGTTCAGTTAGATTTTATAAGTATTTTTAAACGTTATCTGATTTTAAAAAGGAATCTAAACCGAATTACGTATGCAACATGAAATTCTTAAAAAATACGTTGCTTAATTCTTAAAAATATTATTAAAAATTCTTAAAAATTCTTAAATTCTTAAAAAATATATTGCTAATTTATTTAGATTTTATTTTTCAGTAAGTTTTAAATAGCTTTCATTATTGAAACATGAAATCAGCAGAAACAAATAGATTCATGTGGAAAACATGCTCAATTCCTTACTAATGAAATTAGTTTCACGTGGTATCTTTTTCGCTCAGCAAGTTTTTTAGTTAGTTCGAAAATATTAAACTATTTGTATTTAGAAAATGATAATTTCATATTTTTATGAGTCATCTTCACCATCCAGCTGCCATTGTAGACCTGGCCGAATCCAGCTTCACAATGAGGCAGCTGGGTTGTGAGGGATGAAGTATATCCGAGTGGACTACCCCGAAAAATTCCTATGGTTTTTTTTAACCCATCCGGATCGATCTCGGATCCCCCTGAGCAGACTGCCGCGATAACCGCTTGGCTATGGTAGCTTATGAAAAGTTTGTTTATGGTAGATTTTGATAGATCATATGAAAGGTTCTTCTTTGAAAGGTTATTTTATTTTTATACCTATTTCATTTATTGCGTTTGATACTTTCGAATCCTCTAAATGTTTTCTTTAAGCTTTCAAACTTATTTGTTCATATATTTTTCATAAGAATATGTAACTTGCTGTATTATGCATACTTTATAAGAATTTTATGTGTCTGTTTCATAATTTACACCATCATTCATAGCTTGATTAGTGCCATCTGGAAGTTTTCAATTCTTATTAATTTATATAAATTTCGTTATTTTGCACACTGAAATAAGTGAAAACGCGCGCAATTTATAAGGCTTCGCGTAGTTTTACGAAATGAAATGTCTATAAAATAATATATTCTACATAAATGCTCTTTTTAGACTTTTCGACTATTCTTTACATTCTATCACATTATTTTCAGTGTTATTTTATCGCCGTATAATTCATATTAAAAATCACCTTTATAGGAATCGTTAAAAATGTCCCAAAAATCAATTAACTGAGGTATATTTAAGAACAATTAGAACTGCTTTAGAATAGTTCATGATTCTGTCACCACGTTGGTTGCATTCAAGCACACCAAACAAACACTTCCGGAGCAGTTGAGTATTTTCCTACTGAACGTCGTCTACAGAAATACTTCGTAACATGTTGAATGTATTGACGCTACATTTAGTAGCAGGCTTCACTAACGCTTCCTTTCATAGCTGTAACTAATCAAAGATCGTTGCCGTTTTATAGCAATTACCAGAAGCATATCTTTGTTCTATTAGAACTGTCGAGTCTGCTGAACGTAATCATTGAAAAGAAACTTGAATACAGATTTGCTCAAAAGTCGATTAACCTAAATATAAGTTAAGATTATTTTAATAATGGTGAAAATAGTCCAGTATCTTATTATTAGTGATTCAGTCAAAAAAGTTATCGAGATATGGAGGTGGTTAAGGCGTCAGCCTACCGCTTTGTGAATTCTGGAATAGAATCCAGGCAGACAATTCCAGGAATTTTTCANATTCATTAATATTATTATATTGTCTATCTTTTAGGATTTTATCTAAATTACTGTATGTTCCGCTTAAGAATCTTTATAAACATTTTTATTTTATGTATTTATAATTGTGTTTAGATATATGTATCCTTCTTTTACCTCAGCCCACATATTAGTAAGCAACAGGTTACTTTCCTAACATTTTTCTTTCCATATAACTAAATCACATACTCTGTACAGTAGTGAGATCTCTTTTTCTTCATGTCATCCAAAAATATCTTCCTCTTAGTTTTCCCTCAACATTATGAAATGTGGTACACCAGTTTGAATCTCTCAAAACATTCCCAATTATAATATATATCAATTTCTATTCTATCTATTTTTTGTTTCTAGTTTTTAAGCTTCCACACTCCTCTAGTGATTTATCTATCCATATTTCAATTCAAATTTTTTCAGAGTTACAGCTGGCTGACTACTAAAAAAGCTTTACACTGCACTCTCCTCCAGGGAAAGTTCTCTGTTAGTAAAATTGTTATTTATTTTATATCGTGCTGAAATATTTTGGGAAAACAATGTGATGGATATGTTTCCTTCTATCCTCGTACACAAGTATTGATTTTCTCAACAAATATTCTCAATTCTGAAAAAAATATATTTTAATTTTAAAAATAATTTTATGTTAAAATTTGCTGAAATTGCCAAAAACATTTTTTTTAGAATTTATTTGTAATATCAAAAAGTTTCAATATCAAACGTTTCTTTGAGATTACATACAATACACAGAAAGAATGTTAAAGATAAAAAACTTAAACAATTTATTATAAGAATGGGTCAATAGATGATACAATATAAATTCTATTGTTCGGCACTTAGAATTTTTCAAATTAAAGATCACATTAAACAAATTATCCAAATACTTGAAGCACCATCACAAAAAATTTCCTTTCAAACTGTACTCTGTCTATTGTTTGAAGTTTTCTTTGTTCTTTCTGTAGAATGAATGAAAAGAAATATTGATGGCTTTTTTTCTTTATCTATAATGTAATCAAGTAAAGAAACAGGATAACATCGAACACTTATTATTAACTGACAATTCTGTTTAGATATGAGGATTAGTTGAGTGTTCGACTTTAATGCTTTGTAAAAGGAAAACGATGAAAACATCGATTTAAAGTTAATTAATAAATTTATAAAATAGTTGCTCGCTAACAATTGAAAGTTGAAAAAAAAACTGTTGAAAAATTATTTCTATATTCCGAACTCTTTTTGCACTTGTACATCGTTTTTAGATGCTCATTAATGACTTTTTCATTTTATTCAAAAAACTCTTTATGCTTCGTTAAAATAAAAACTGAATTTTCATTAGAGAAATTTTTTAAAGTTTTCACTTTTTTAAAATGTGAATAAATAAAAAATAAATTTTTATTATCTCATAAAAGTAAGCAAAAACTTTTGTGTCGCATCCTCTAAATTAGGGGGGTTGCACACAGTGGGCAGCTCGTACCTATCCTGGAAATTTTTTCTCAACTTGACTAGACTAAAAAGTTTTCTGTTATCTTCCAAATCTTACAAGAGCCAAGTTTATCTACTTTCGGAGCCGTAGACTAACAGTGATACCTTCCATCACTTGTACTTACTGTGATGGACTTTTAGAAAAAGCTGTTCTTAGTTTTTCTATACTCAAATTAGGAAAGATTAGTCGTCAAGAAATTTAAATTATCGTAAATTAAATTGACTTATTTATTATAATTATATAAATTATGTTATAATTATATTTTAAGAGACCGGTTCAAGAAGGATATAAATCCATAAACTTATGTTTCGAGATAAACAAAAGAAACTACACTATATCCAAAGAATTTGACATTAGATTTTTCTTTGTGGCTCCCATTCAGAGTTTACATAGAGGATTTCTATCCCATAAAATTTGTCCAGTAGGCCAAATGTCGGAGCAGTTGTAACCGTACAAAGTCCTTGGACATATATTTTTATTGTTGCAAGAGTTACGGTCAATATTAATACACTTTTGGTTCAACACTACAAACTTTTATTCACGGTATTATTATTCAAAATGTGTTTCTCTGTTATTACGATTCTTCCAAAGAACTAACAAATCAATGAAATCTGTAAATTTCGTGCGTCAAACTGGTCGACATTATAATGAGCTATCTAATTCTGACTATAAAGAGAAAATAATCATAAAAAATAAAATACCTTAATAATATTGTACAAATAAATAGGTCCTCTTAGTGGCCATAGTTATTTATTCGGTATAAGTAAGAAAGAAAACATTTCCTGGAAATTTCTTACCTATTGAATTGCAATAAGAAGAAAAACACGGTTTAATACACCTTGTTTTTCTTGGTGGATTGGAGACAATAAGAGTGTATTGAGCAGGAAGACCTGTTTGAAATCTAATAATATTGCACTCTATGCAGCAGAATAGTATATGCCCTGGGCTTTGTACCCTTCTTATCCTGCAATTTTCTCACAAGCATTTAAGAAGTATATAAATTATAAATTAATTGTTTATAAAAGTGAAAAAATTCATTATTTTTGCCTCATCACTTATATTTCTCACTTAATTTGTTGCGATCTTGCACTTATTAAATATAAAATAAAGAAATCTTTTAAGAAGTATTCATATGATTTCCTAATATAATCCACATGATTTACGACATCGATGCCTTTTACTTGACTATAAAAATATTCCGTGTTCATTTAAAATGGTAACTTATTTTATTTATCATATTTAAAATAATTTTTCTCTCACTGATTTAGTTATCTGTTTGCTTAAGCACGAGCAAACTGAGCTTTTGTCTAAAAACCTCGAACTTTTAAGGCCATCAGACAAGCAGAGGTTTATGCTTAGGCTTGGGTATCAACAAGGATCTGACACTTTATACAATATCAAAGAACTTTAAATAATGTAAACTTGTATGAAAGGAACCTCGTAATTCTACACTTGCTTAAGATCTCACAAAACTTAAAACCGCCACTATAAATAGAGAATTTATGTAAATTATTTTAATGAATTTTACTCAGATCGTTGTAAATATACTTTTCTCAGCGATACTTTATTACGATATTTACCATAAATTACCTAATGAAATCTGTATAGATCTTGTCAAATCCAATAAATAAAAATATTTCAGGGGCCTTCAAGTTATACGACGTCGACAACGACGGATACATCACTAGGGAAGAGATGTACAGTATTGTGGACGCCATTTATGAGATGTTGGTATGTCTTTTAACTGATTTCTGCTATGTATTATTAAGCCAATGAATTATCCGTATCGATGAAGCTTATCTGGATGATAAATTCTAAATTATGTTTCTGAAATTCTGAAGCCTCATTACTAATGAAGATACTCCATAATTTCAGAATCTTCATACGTAAAGATGTTTCAGAATTTCAGGAGCAAGTTTAAAACGAAGTATTTTAGATTGTTTTATATGTTCTAATATTTATAATTGATTAAAGTAACAAATCTTTAGAAACAAAATCAACATGCAAATTCTTCTAATGTCTTGTGATTTCACGGACCTCAAATATGTATAAATATATGTTTGTGATATCTTCTTACTCCAGTACTATAGTAGGATCTTAGATCTTGTAGTATCTCATACAAGAAATGTCCTTTAAATTATATAAAATTATATAAAGAGGCTTGGCAAGTCTACACTTACTTAGGCCTTCCACAGCATAAAGTCACCATTGCATAAAACCATCTGTAAAAGTAGTCCACATTATTCTGAGAATAAAATAATTTTTATCAAGATTTCAGTAATATTTATCCATTAAACTTCACATAAAGAAAAATATATTTTATTTTAAAATTATATTATTGACGCCAATTTGAATCTGATCAATTCGTGTATACGGATTTATATTGATTTTTTCATACCGAATTTTAATTCAAATTTTAACGGAAAAATTAATTAAAATTAATGAGTATATTAACTTTTAAAACTATTTATTAATTAAACAGAGTGGTCACAAAGTCTTTATGCATGAAATTGTATCCTTAGTTTCTCAGTTAGAGAATAATGTCATCTTCTATGAAGATCACAGACAGGTTCTCTCACATGAGGACAAGCAAGGTCATTTTGGCCCGTAACCACGTTCATAGCAACATCAAAACGTAAATTATTCCTTGCATTTTTCTGAATTAAACTCTTATTTTTGTCAAATTTTATTATTTAAAATATGTTTTAATTTATAATTTTTTGTTTTGTTACTATCCTAAGAGGTCTTTTAAGAGTAAGTGGCCCAAGCTTCTTTCGAAATCTGAAAGATCAAAGGCGTAGATAAGGACCTTTTAAATCTCTATGGTGAGGGAACTTTGAAGTGACTATATGTGACAATTCCCTAAGGATATTGTTATAAAGATATTTCAACCTCCACTTATAACTGTCGAAGACCTAAAAAGAACTATCAAAGACTGTTTTAACAACTTCCAACCACCAAGACGGAAGATGTTCAGAAGAACACAAAGAGAACATACGTTTCCTCTATTCTCTGCACAAAGTTAAAATTTGTGCAGAGAATAGAGAGGAAACGTATATATAATTAGCATGCGTGTAGTGCTATGTCACTCTAAATATTATTTTTTAAATTATATTTACAAATTTGCATTATTGTCATTAGTTTATAGGACTTAAAGTACTGTTCACTTTTAAAGACAACATCATTTTTCATCTTCAAATTATATTTAATCAGAACGTTTTTATTTAATTAAGTTATTAATATTAATTAAAATTATCATGATAGTTTGATTTCAAAAGTACAGTACAGTGCTAGATTATAATATACGAGTAGTTATAATTTATTCATTATAATTTACCATAAAAATAATCTATACTCGAAATTTGTAATTTTATTTCTTCTTAATGTTCAAAGCCATTAACTTTGATAAAATTTTGCCATCAAGTTCATTATCTCATCTCATATATCAAATTTCTAAAAATATCCAAGTTGTCACACTATGTATAGAAACTCGTTACCCACGTTTTACACCCTTTTTGTATTATTTATAATAAACAATGTAAACTTAGATTGGTTCAGTTAGATTTTATAAGTATTTTTAAACGTTATCTGATTTTAAAAAGGAATCTAAACCGAATTACGTATGCAACATGAAATTCTTAAAAAATACGTTGCTTAATTCTTAAAAATATTATTAAAAATTCTTAAAAATTCTTAAATTCTTAAAAAATATATTGCTAATTTATTTAGATTTTATTTTTCAGTAAGTTTTAAATAGCTTTCATTATTGAAACATGAAATCAGCAGAAACAAATAGATTCATGTGGAAAACATGCTCAATTCCTTACTAATGAAATTAGTTTCACGTGGTATCTTTTTCGCTCAGCAAGTTTTTTAGTTAGTTCGAAAATATTAAACTATTTGTATTTAGAAAATGATAATTTCATATTTTTATGAGTCATCTTCACCATCCAGCTGCCATTGTAGACCTGGCCGAATCCAGCTTCACAATGAGGCAGCTGGGTTGTGAGGGATGAAGTATATCCGAGTGGACTACCCCGAAAAATTCCTATGGTTTTTTTTAACCCATCCGGATCGATCTCGGATCCCCCTGAGCAGACTGCCGCGATAACCGCTTGGCTATGGTAGCTTATGAAAAGTTTGTTTATGGTAGATTTTGATAGATCATATGAAAGGTTCTTCTTTGAAAGGTTATTTTATTTTTATACCTATTTCATTTATTGCGTTTGATACTTTCGAATCCTCTAAATGTTTTCTTTAAGCTTTCAAACTTATTTGTTCATATATTTTTCATAAGAATATGTAACTTGCTGTATTATGCATACTTTATAAGAATTTTATGTGTCTGTTTCATAATTTACACCATCATTCATAGCTTGATTAGTGCCATCTGGAAGTTTTCAATTCTTATTAATTTATATAAATTTCGTTATTTTGCACACTGAAATAAGTGAAAACGCGCGCAATTTATAAGGCTTCGCGTAGTTTTACGAAATGAAATGTCTATAAAATAATATATTCTACATAAATGCTCTTTTTAGACTTTTCGACTATTCTTTACATTCTATCACATTATTTTCAGTGTTATTTTATCGCCGTATAATTCATATTAAAAATCACCTTTATAGGAATCGTTAAAAATGTCCCAAAAATCAATTAACTGAGGTATATTTAAGAACAATTAGAACTGCTTTAGAATAGTTCATGATTCTGTCACCACGTTGGTTGCATTCAAGCACACCAAACAAACACTTCCGGAGCAGTTGAGTATTTTCCTACTGAACGTCGTCTACAGAAATACTTCGTAACATGTTGAATGTATTGACGCTACATTTAGTAGCAGGCTTCACTAACGCTTCCTTTCATAGCTGTAACTAATCAAAGATCGTTGCCGTTTTATAGCAATTACCAGAAGCATATCTTTGTTCTATTAGAACTGTCGAGTCTGCTGAACGTAATCATTGAAAAGAAACTTGAATACAGATTTGCTCAAAAGTCGATTAACCTAAATATAAGTTAAGATTATTTTAATAATGGTGAAAATAGTCCAGTATCTTATTATTAGTGATTCAGTCAAAAAAGTTATCGAGATATGGAGGTGGTTAAGGCGTCAGCCTACCGCTTTGTGAATTCTGGAATAGAATCCAGGCAGACAATTCCAGGAATTTTTCATGGGCACTGTTTCTTAACACCTGGCTTCACCAATTATAGACCTGGCCGAACCAGAAAAAAGGTTATCTGGTTGTCAAAAGACCGAAAGAGTCAAATGTGAAATGCAAAAAACAAAAATAAATAAATAATAAATAAACCCACTTAATTACGAATATCATATGGTTTCCAAATTCCAAATTGGTTTTAACTGTTGTTTAAAATATATTGATTAACTGACTATTGGACAAGTCTTTATACGACGAAATTTTCTCCTTTTTTTTTCTATAATTTTCTTCATTATTTGTTATATTGCCAGCAAACAATGCCAAGAAGAAATGACATCGTCGACTGGAATTTCTTTCTTTTTCATGATACAGGAAAATCTTCAGATAATAATTATCTGTGCTGAAAATAGGGTTAGAAAGTCCAACATTTTATAATTTTTGTCTTTTAACTGCGCTTTCAGCAAAATTGATAATTAAAAAGTTATTAATTAATTCAATAATTATCAGGTGTGTAATGGTATAAATTATAGGCCTATAAAATTTTCAAATAAATGATTTCCTGAACAGTTTTTTAAAAACATAAGTTCGTACTTCAAGTACAATTCTGTATAAAAGCTATCAAGAAATATAATTTTATTCTTCTTGCTTTAAAAGTATCATTTTTATAGTAAGCTTAACTGTTATAGATCGATTAAAATTCTCTTGAGAACTGATTTAATATATAATTCATTTACATTTTTAAAAAATTTAACTTTTTTTCTTTATATAAAAAAACAGTTAAGAAATAAATCCAAGAGATTTTTATTGAATGGGATCATTTACTGATTACTTTATTTTATATTTTTCTCTCAGATTTAGGCTTATTTAATTTTAGTATAAATCATAGTTAAATTAAATATTTTTAATACAATTTGTAAAATTTTAAATGTTAATTTTTTGTTTTATAGAAGATCCTTTTAAACAGGCTTTACTGCAGGGAATAAAGAGAAATAAATTTATCAAATCTGTAGATTTAGTGAAATTATTAATTAATTAAATAACACTATAATGAGCTTTATTTTAGTATTTTCTTTTTAATTTTATGGCCAATTAATTATGGCCCAAAAGTCAGCTGTGAAGCACAATTAGAAATATGAATCACACATTGGACTTTCTTTTACAAAATTACAAAATTATGGAATTGATTAAAATTTTACTAATTTTGATACAATTAGTTGATAAAAAAGGCAGAACAACTGTGTATATTCTTAACGAAGATTTAATGTCTTAATTTAAAATTTTGGTTAATATTTTAACATTTCTTACCACGTAGATACTAAGAGGATCTTTGTTCATACTCATCGATTAGGTCCACAGCGTAGACGATAGAGTGGCGAGCATGGGAGTATCTAGGGGGTGCTTATGGTGTTGCAGCACCCCCTTGATACCAAAGAAATCAGTTTTGTTACTTTAAAAAATAAAGCATATCGAACGACTTCAATGGCAAAAACACGAATAAAAACAAAAATATTTATAAACTGATATTTCTCTAAAAATAATTGTAATTTCGAACATTTCTAGTTAAAATAAGAAATA